CTCTCTCTCTCTCTCTCTCTCTCTCTCCTTCTTTTTCATTTGCAGTTGGTCTGAATGAATTTCTCTGTCTGTTCTTGCTTTCTCACACAGTAGAAAAGTATAGCTTTAAAACAAAACCAAATGATAGTACCTTATGTAATATGAGTCTGAGCAAAAATCTAAACCAGTGAAAGAACAGAAACCTTTTTGATTTAATTACCCAGTTTGAACTTTTAATTCAGTGCTAAATAAGCTTGGACCTGTGCTTTGATTGAGCAAATGAGACTCACCTTTGTGACACTTATAAAATACAAAACTACTACACTCCTCTCGTGTGATCACATGTCAAAGTGGGCGGCCATTCAAATCTAAATCATTTCTTTACACTGTCCTCAGGGGTCTCATCGCCACCATCGGTACAGTCGAATGTATTACAGCAGCTCCACATTCCTGCAGTCCCATGTGCCCCCTGTGTGGATGCCTGACGATGGAACAGACATGGAAACTGGCAGTGGACGGGTGGTCTATAATGGGGATGAATTTCCTTCTTTCGAAATGTCAAAGAGTACAAATGATTCCTCAGTAAGTTTACTCCTGTATGTTACGTTAAAGGTCTATTTATGAACATGTGGATTTGTTCTGCTGTTTTTTGTTTGAATTAAAGAGGGGCGTGCCGACACAATAGTGTTCATGTAGTGCTTCATAACAACAGATTGATGGATTGACAGGAGAAATAAGAGTTTACAATGGTGCCTTCTTTCTATTGCTTCAATTCCATGTGTTCTAGTTTTTCTCCTTTGTTGTTGTAGCCTAGAAATTTTTGGGATCAGGTTTATTTCATACTCTAATTATATGTGTGTGCATGTGACAGCACTTATCAGAAAAGTCAAAATCCTTTCAACTAGCTACGTTCCAAGTCCAAGAGATTCGGCATCATGATTTACCCTTTGGAAAAATGCTGCGGTTGTAAAAGAACAAGATTTAATAGGTATATTTTTACGCATACAATGTATTAAATCTGTTGTAGTAGTCCTATTGCCTTTTCTCTCTTGCAAGTTTATTTTTTACTTATATATTTTACGCTGCTTTATTATCCCAGTAAATTACATGTCTTTCTTTCAGAAAAGTGCTCTGGGGGATGGTATGACTTTTAAATTCAGTCTACATTGTCTTAGATGGCCACCTATTATTGAGGAGAAAGTGACTATCTTATACAGTGTGATTATAATGTTTAAAAAATGCAAGGGGGGGGGGGAATGGAAGAGGCTGTTTGTACAGTTGATTGTCTTATACGGGTTTCTGTTAGAGCAGGTTCTGTTATATTATGCAGTTTGTAAACATTTTAGTTGCTCAAAGTGTGTTACGTCCTGGTGAGTTTTCTGACTCTGACATATTGTTGTTTTCATTTCTGTCTCTGCTCAGGATGAAGACGACTATCCAGAAGATATTGTGAACAGTCCAGAATTTCAAGAGTTGCAACAGTTACGAAGGCTGAGGAAAGACAAGTTACAGCGAGAACAGGCAGCCCTTACTAGACATGTGGGATATAAGGTATGTGTCTGTTTTTGTCAATTTCATGCTGTGGACAATTAAATAGTAATCATCAATTTTCTTGTGCTGTCTCCAACACTTGAATTACCCCCTTTGTGAACAGGGTCAGTATTTGTTTCACCAAGGTCAGTTTTGGATCCCCCAGGGACGAAGAGTAGTGCTAAATTGAGCTGTCAATAGCCCATAATTAGATCCTGTTTGTAAATACTACAGACTGCCTCTAAAAGGAAAAGGTTCATTTGTACGGAAAAAGTATTGTTGAATTTGAATGTACAATTAGTTGAATTAGTTTTACGCAGTGCGTCTAATAGAAGCAGCCTTGCAGAATACAAAATAATAATATGACAAACTGTGCTCGTCATGGTCCTAGCGCTTTACAAAGCATAAAGAATTCCATTGGTGACAGCAGCATCTTGCCTCCATCGCTGCATAAGAAAAAATTATACACTCTCGTCATATAAGTCTCAAAGGGGTCAATTCATCTGCAGTTAATGTTTTCATCCACTTCTAACCCCAGCGCCCCTTGTTTTGCTTGTTGATTATTCAAGTTCGTTAACCCATTTGCCTTTTCAACAGATGTGTTGCTAGGTGTTTATCGTTTCTTTCTTGGAGAAAGGGAATAACCGTGTGTTTTTTAAAAAACACCATGTGCATTTGAATACATTAGAAATACAGTGGAATACTGTTATAACGAGGCGGAGGGGACTGGTGCTAAATGTCCGTTGAAGCAAGATTCTCGTTATTAGGGATCCAGTAATAAATTCAAGGGAAATTATAAAGTAGACCTAATATTTAACCCTTAAAACCCTGAATTCTTTTTTTTCATACCTCCCTAGAATCCTGAATTAAAATTGAGATACTAGAAACAATTAGGTTGGTTTGATAATTTGTTTACTGTGTCTTTAATTGTTGTTAGATTTTGCTGAAGTTTGAAAATGTTATTTATATATGAATGCACAGTCTGAATAAAAGGGTAAAAGGTTGAAACACTGGTTTTTAGGACCAACTCTATGAGTTAAGTCTTGAGTGTGATCCCCGACTCTACTTCAGTCAAAGTATCATTAGACCCAGCCATAGATCTAGCCTCTGTTAGCTTTAGTGGTGATCCCCTGCCAATTCCACTATCGTCAAAATCATCATCGATGTCATGCGGAACACTGCAATCGTCTTCAACGGTCATATTTATGGATATATCCGACTGGGAGATCATTATTGGGGTCTGGTTAGGATAAAAAATGTCAAAAATTTTGCGGCCTGGAGGACCTGGCAGTGAAAAATGACTATATTTTCTTAAAAACTCGCAAAATTTCCAAACTTTCGGTGTAGAACTGCCTTCATGACATTATCGGTACTTTCTGCTCACGACAGAGTCATCTGGAGTTACATCCCCTGTTTCTAGCACTGGGAATTAAACGATAAAGTCGACCAGCGGTTACCAGCGGTATAGGAAAATAGGGCGTCAGCGGTTACCAGCGGTATAGGGTTTTAAGGGTTAATATTGTGGGTTTGGTGTTCTGATTATTTCTTTTTGTTATCTCCCCTGATGATGATATTGTTTCAACATGACCTCTAAGTCATACTTGATCGAAAATCGGATCAGATTTCTTTCTCTAGCGCAAGCGATGTTGACAGCTCGGCGTTGGCAATCAGAGAGGAAATGTTCTAGGCTAACTCGCCAGTTGTGTTGTCCCCCACTCCACCACGCATGGTCTATGTGCACATGGATAATCTTGAATGTTTTTTAAAAAAGCAATACACCCCTCCTCTCCCCCCCCGGTGTTAGATTTCTGGACCATTCAGACCCGGCTGAAACTAAAACGACCCTGTTGTCACAAACGTTCGTTACCTTTGATACACACTGAACAAAAACATCCAGTACAAATTGAGCATTAAGATGGTCTTTTTTACCAACTCCATTAGGTCAAAAACAGTTCTGCCCCGGAACACCCAACTAAATAACTGAAATAATGATTCTTAACTTTACAATTGCTCTTAAAATTATTATGATTTGCTTTTATCGATTACTCAAACGCCCAAGCAAACATTGACACTCGCCGAGTGGCGTTGATTAATGTGATTCAAACGCCAAGACGCCGTCATACTGTCACTTAGGTGGTTGAATCACACAGATTTTGGTAGGTCTTAACCGCCTATGTTCAGTAACTTAAGAAAGAAAGCTTTTGTTTTTTTAATGTTAGGTACAGACCATCCTCCTACATCATATTATATCATATATCTGAATTTCAGATTCATAGGTACTAGCATAAAGAAAGAAAAGTTTTTTGCTTCTCCTGAAAAATTTGTCTCTTGGCAATTAAGTGGTTGAATCAAGCGGCTAGCGATATATATATATTATTTTTTGTATGTTGGTTTTGAATTACTTTTTAACCAGGTATGATTTTACCTTCATACAATGGTTTCCGTTTATCTCTGAATATTTGTTTCATTTTATTGCATCCGTGATTTGTTTTTGTTTCAGTGTGACAACTGTGGCTGTGAACCTATAGTTGGAATACGATGGCACTGTATTGACTGTCCTGCTGATGTATCTTACGACTTCTGTGACGACTGCAGCATTGTGTATGTATATAATGTGATTTTTTCCGATAGATTTAAATTTATACCATGCAGTTTAGTAGGTTCCCTCTTATTCTTCGATCCACATCTAATTTTGGAAAAAACATTTCCCAAGCAATTAATGCAATTGCATGACTTTTTTTATTTCCTGGTCCTTTCGAGATCTCTTGACCGCACTTGCAGAAACCGGGATCAAACCCAGGCAAGCACTGTATTCTATGCTAATTTCCCTGCCTGCTCATCCAGATCAGTTGATAAACTGAGTTGTGATAGTGAGAGAGATATTACTGGCCTTTGGATTTTGAAGAAATAACTGATCCTTGATATTCACAATTTTTTTTGAGTGTTAGTGTTATACGTGTTGGGAAGATGTTTTCAGTCAAATCGTGCACTGTATGTTCAGAACAGAACTGATCTTTTATTTTTGGGTGAACTCATTGTTTTTTGTAAGCCTGACTGAACAAGCAGTCAGGTTTGTTATCTTTTGCATGCTTTTGGGGTTCGTTTAAACTTGTTTTATCAATATAAATTCTTTTACATTTATCTCCTTTGGCTTTTCACTTTTGTGACTGTGAGAACTTGACTTTATGTAATTGTAATGATTGTTTTAGCTGACCACCAATGTAATGTGGCGTCAGTGGTCTAGTGGTTAGGCTCTCAGACTCGCAACCGTAAGGTCGTGGGTTCAAATTCCATCAGGGGCCCAACGTTGTGTCCTTGGGAAAGGCACTTTACATACATTTTTCCCACTTCACCCAGATGGGAATGGGTATCCTTCTAAAGACGGTGGAAGATCTTGCCAGGGTTTGAGCACTTAAACAGCTGCTTTGCACTGTATGCTTTCCGGGAAGCTGAGAATGTTTCGGAGTGTTCTATGGGCTTGTGGGATAATAATATGGTGTAAAGCACATAGAGCTTACTGTAAGCGGGGATACGCGCTAAACAAATGCTATTTATTATTATTAATCACTAGGTGTTTCATTTCATTTGATTTGTTACAGCCTGGTTGTTGGTCTTTGTTGTTCAGTCTTGATGGTTTTTGTTGTTCTTGTTGTTGTAGTTGTATGTTTGACTGACGAGCTCAGACACACCTCATTTTCTAATTGAACTGCTGAACCCTCTTGCTGCCACATTTATATAAACATGTATAGTTTTTCCATTGTATTTATGAGGTCTCTGTTAGAATGGGGCATACCCACCCGGGGCAATGCCACTGACTGAAGTGTCTTTAAGCCATTCCGAAAGGGGGGACATATCTCGTTCAAGCGTAGTAGAATTGTAAATGGGCTGACTCATGTCACGCTCATAACTGTGCCTGATCTACAACAGGGAACTGCTGCTTTTTCTTTCCTGATCCTTACTATTGTCATTTTCCTCTACTTCTTTTGTATGTTTGTCACTCCCTGCTATTTTTTGGGGGTGCCCTGATAGTCGAAGCAGACCTTGTGCTGTTGAAGCTAGAGAGGTGAGCAGTCTAAGTCTGATTCCCTGTAAAGACTTCTCTGTTGACACCCACCCCTTGGCGCTCGAATGACCTTATGCAGTTGCGAGCGCCGTAAAACCTTCTACTATATATATATATATATATATATATATATATAGAATAGGGCAACATCTCCAGGTCATGTCCGACCATACATAGTGACTGGCCAAAACATGAAGTTCCAGGAAAAATTTTGGAATTCTGAAGTTCCGGGGCCGTATAGTATAATCATAATAAATTTAGATGTTCAGATCCAGTACAATTATGTAAATATATTTTTTTAATAGGTGTTTTTACGTCTCCATTGACACAATTTATATCATTTTGGAGGCAGGCTGCTGTCCCTGCCTATCAGGGCCAGCCTGGGCTGCGAGGTATAAAATATCCCAGCAGACAGAACGAGACACCCAATAGAAATTCTCCCCACTCGGGAATCAAACTCGAGTCTCTTGTCTTTGACAAAGAAGCACCTAACGGCTACACCACATTCGTATGCACAGGACTATCCTCGACCTTCTTCATTAGCATTTGTATGGCCATTTAGACTGATTAATTTTTGGTGACTTTGGTGAGTGCTTTCCACCACAAAACTAATTTGGTTGATAGAAAAAAAGGTGGTGCTTTCCCCTGTTAAATTCTCATGCAGCTGATTAACAAAAAGGTTTTTTTGTTCTTGCCAGCACTTATAATATAGGGAGTGCTTATTTAGGCCACATATGGCCTAAATAAGGTAAGGGAGGGGGGTTTAGCTTATTTAGGCCACAGTGGACTGTGGCCTAAATAAGGTAAGGGAGGGGGGTTTAGCTTATTCAGGCCACAGTGGACTGTGGCCTAAATAAGGTAAGGGAGGGGGGTTTAGCTTATATAGGCCACACATGCTCAAACTACCCTTTTCAGGCAACTGAGTTCATTCCACTTTCATAATGGTGCACCTTTCTCATTTAGTACGGTTTTGTCTCAGTGTACAACTTATAAATCATAACCATAATGAATATTGTAAAGAACAAAGCACAATACGCAAAATTTTGCTCAATCCCAATGGTTTGAATGAGGGCCAGATTTTTCCTTCATGGAGGGGCAAAAGCTAGGCTACCATTTTGGCACACTTTGGTCAAGTGAAAAGGTCAAATCCTCCGAATGGACTTCCGGGTTAAATTTGGGGTATAAAAAGTGTGTACACTACGTGGCTGAGTCAAAGTTACACTATCTTTGTCTGAGTGACACTCTCTCTTACTGTCTCGTAGTAGTACATGTAGGCTAGTAGGCCTAGTAGTAGTAGTAGCAAAGATCGTGTAGAGAATATTTGGTAGTAGATTCTATCTATAGGCAGTTTAGTGAACGTGCTCGCAGCAGGGCGAATCGGCCTCGATAAGCCCCGTAGACTTTTGTGATCGGCCACGAAGCCTCGTGTTTTGATGGGTCTAGATCTAGATCTAAACAACTCAGTGTTAATCACACTGCCACATCCGACAGGCCTAGATCTACATCTTTTTAAAAGGAAAACAAAGATCATCAAAATGGTTGAATTCGCCTGAAAATCGATTCGGTAGAACTAGAACTATTAAAATTTGCTTCTGAAAACAAGGCAATTTTTATACGAAGGCCATTTTTATAACTCGGTGAAATAAAAACTACTGGCTGTGTACTGTGTTATGCTGTATAAAAATAAATTATGAAACTTCAGGACGCATTATTATTTTCCAGCATCTTTTGACGCCTGAGCTGTAGAGGTTGAAGTTTTCACAACACTAATAGATCTAGTAATAGGCCAGGTAATAGGGCTTTCCGTAAAAAATGCATAGATCTACAAAAGCCGAACCACCGAATCGACCGAGCACCTCGCTCTCCCCTGCACACTGTGATAACGTGTTGCTTCGGTATCGCATTATTCAACTATTAATACGTGCGGCTATGGCAATTGGGATGTACTGACTGACAAAAAATTCAGTTTTGTTTTTATTTTACCATATATTTGACTTAAATAGTGCAGGCGATAGCAAGATCTAGATTCCCTGTCTAGAATCAGTAGTAGCAGGCCTATGCTAGAAGCAGCCTACAACTGCTAGATCTAGATCTAACTTATTATTGCTATGCCTTTGGGCTTTGGAATTGAAATAAAACGAATTGCACAGTTCTAGTTACTTTTAGATTCAGCAAGTAACTGTATTTCCAGAGTTAATAATAACAAATCTCAGCATAACAATCACTTTTACTTTTATTAGAATAATTAGATCCAACTTTTTTTCTAAAATCTGTTTTGCGCAAACTTAAGATTTTCTCTACTTGTAGAGCAGAGAATTTACATTGTAAGCCTCTGCTCAGTCTTTTAGTATACATATAATAAAATACACACACACACACACACACACATATATATATATATATATATATATATATATATATATATATATATATATAGAGAGAGAGAGAGAGAGAGAGAGAGAGAGAGAGAGAGAGAGAGAGAGAGAGAGAGAGAGAGAGAGAGAGATCTATATCATCATTTTATGTTGTTTTCGGGATATTTTTAAAACTCTTTTTTTACAACATGTCATAAAATCAAATTGTGCCATTTTCTTTGAAAAGAATAGCATTAGCAGTGGACTTTTTAGAAAGCGAATCTCTGATTCAATATTTTAAAAAAAATATGCTAATCAATGAAAATTGCAAATTGATAATAGTTTAGTCCTGAAGAGGATAGGTGGACTCCGGGGTCTGCAAAGCGAAATACTAGGTTTTAGGATGTAAACCCCGGAGTCACCGTAGTGAAATAAGGTTTGGTTTAAGTAAGGATTGGTGGACCCCGGGGTCAACGTAGTGATAAATAAGCAGGTTTAAGGTGGACCCCGGGGTCTACCTAGCGAAATACTAGGTTTTAGGACAGGTGGACCCCAGGGTCACCGTAGTGAAATAAGTATGTTTCTTTAAAGATTGGTGGACCCCGGGGTCAGCGTAGTGAAATAAGTAGGGTTAATTTTAAAAGGATTGGTGGACCCCGGAGTCACCATAGCCGTAGAGGAATAAGGTTTAATTAAGGATTGGTGGACCCCCGGGACACCTAGATTAAACCTACTTATTTTACTACGGTGACCCCGCAGGTTCCACCTATTCTAAAAACCTAACTAGCATTTCGTTAGGTAGACCCTGGGGTCCACCTTAAACCTACCTATTTCACTACGTTGACTCCAGGGTCCACCAATCCTTAAAATTAAACCTAGATCTACATGTACTTATTTCACTACATTGACCCCAGGGTCCACCAATCCTTAATTAAACCTAGATCTACTGATTTCACTACATTGACCCCGGGGTCCACCAATCCTTAATTAAACCTATATCTACTTATAATTTCACTACATTGACCACGGGCTCCGCCAGTCCTACTATAAAATAAACTGAGATCTACTTATTTCACTATGTTGACCCCGGGGTCCACCGATCCTTAGTTAAACCTAGATCTACTACTTATTTCACTACGCTCACTCCGGGGTTCACATCCTAAATCCTAGCATTTTGTTAGGTAGACCCCGGGGTCCACCTATCCTTTTGGCTAGATAGACCCCGTAGTCCGCCTATCCACTTTCTTGATAATAACTGAAAACAATACATGCCAGTTGTCATGAATAGTGAAGAAAAATGATGGAAAAAAAAGACAATGAGGTAGACTATAATTTATCCAAAAAGTTGCAAGTGCAAGTGAAGATCATAAAATAATTTTGTTATCTTCAGGTCATCTTTCCCGGTTTATAAAAAAAATTCAGTGGGCCTACTACTAGATCTGTGTCTCTGAAGAACATTTTGCTTGCCTTTATTAGCTTTTTTCATGTACATGAAAGCATAGAATATATAGTTTCACACAAATATAATATGCACAATACTTTGAAAAAGAAAGATATGGTCATTGCTTTTTTACGGAATCCGTTTTACGTTGAGAAAAGCGCTAAAAACAAGTTTTAAAATTTTAAGAATGCCCATAATATTAGTATTAGGAATCCGAAATTACTACCTAGTTGGCTTACTCTTTAATAACCATGAGCAGTTAAGAAAAAAAAAGACAATGATATAGGATTTGTCTAAATATGACCATTAGCAATAAAGATTCTACCCATTTTGTCCAATTACCCTTGCAGGTAAAATCACCCTGCACTGTACCTCAATAAGCACAAAAGGAATATTTCTGTGACTTTGTATAAAGGTGTGGCCTAAATAAGGTAAGGGAGGGGGGTTTAGCTTATTTAGGCCACAGGCGTGGCCTAAATAAGGTAAGGGAGGGGGGTTTAGCTTATTTAGGCCACCTGTGGCCTAAATAAGGTAAAGGAGGGGGGTTTAGCTTATTTGGGCCATATGTGGCCTAAATAAGGTCACCCTATAATATATTATAACTTACTGTTTTCTTCATCTTTTCCAGACCTTTCCAACATGAAAAGCATGATTCAAGTCATCGTCTCCAGCCATACAAGCGAGATGTTTTAGATTCAGACTACATGAGCTTTACTAAGTCAAATTACAATTATCTCGATTCAAATTATATGCCCGCTAGTTGACAACACAGGTCTTTTTATAGGTACGAATACTTCTTGGATTTTTTTTCTTTTGCATTTATGAAATGTATATATATAATTTTGTTACGGCCAGTTTAAGGCTCATGCAAAAATAAATTCATATGATTGAGTCGTATCCTAATGTATTTTGTTTATTTTTGTTCTTAACCCTAATTCTGGCAAGGGCCGATTAGATCGGCCCATTTCCTGCCATGAAACTGGCAGGGCCGATCTCATAGGACCATGTAGTAAACTGCTGCTTCTGCCTTCCAACTAAATATTTGGGGCTTCCTAAAGTGATTTCTGATCGGTTAAAAGGCTAACCTCCAACCAATCAGAATATTTCTACCATTCTGGCTAAGGAGAAGAGTATTTTGCTTTCAAAACAGAGGGATGTTTTGAAAGCTTGTTGATCAGGGCACAAGCCACTAATGCCAGTGTAGATCTATCACTTGTGCTACTCATGTGGGTCTAAAAATGGCCAAAAATCGATCTTTTTTGGATACGTTTGAAAGTGAATTGACTAGGGAAAGTAATTCAGACACTGTTAATGGTGGATTTATTAGTGTTCAGTCAAGAATTCGGATTAGATCTGACAGACAATGGGAATACCAGTTCTCATCCTGCCCCAACTTCTCTTTCAAATGGAACACTAGATTCTACTACCTTTGGGAGTCTAATAGGGGCAGAAAAAGGAGAGCTATAGCGTAAAGTAGGTTCCTTTTGCTATACTAATTATTACAGACTACCAGCAGATTGCTGAAAACCACATGGTTGTACTTACAGTGTTTTTATGTTGAGTATGGTATTGGTATGAAAGTAGCGAGTATCACTGATCAGCAGCGCTCGAAACAGACCACATGACAAATTGAAACAGTCATAACTCATTACCTGTTCTTCTCAAACCTATAAAACTATACATTTTCTGAAAGGTTATTGAAAAACCCATATTTCTGCTATCTCACATTTTTTATAACATGAAATACATTAGATTGGTGAATATGCTAATGAGCATGTAAATTTTTTATGTCAGCCATCTTGGATTTCAAAGCTACATAACCCCTTGTAAATTAAATCAAATCATATGTTCAAAGGCAAAATATAAAAGTTCATTCGATTATCTTTCAGAAAATATATACTTTTGTAGAGTTATTATTTGATACAAGTCCATACATAAACTTGATTTGTAAAGCATGTGCACGTTTTGGCTGATTAGCCCTGCCATTCCTGTTGAAACCACTTGCCAGAGTTAAGGTTAAAGGAATACATGTTTGTGAATCCAGAAATATATTTTACAGGAGAACAAACATCTGCATTATAAAATTAGTACAATACTTGTCATCAACAATAGCATTTTTTTCTCTTCTTATGTCTACAATTGGAATGAAAAATCTTGATGGAGAAAAACAGTCTGGCAAAGAGATCAAGAGCTTCTTTTATGATTATTCTCTTTTTGTGTTGTGCTGAAAGGCTTCATATATTTTTTTAATGGAATTTTAAGACTGGCGTCTACAGGACCACATAATAAACTTTCCACAAAGACTGTTTTGGTTTCTGCAACATTCCAATGTAAGGGGAACCTTTGAGTACGGTACAGCTCAAGGACAAAATTGAAATTGTACAAGTGCAAGTCAAATGTTTCTCTGTTCTGTTGTATGCATCCGATACCTGAGGGGTCACCAAACGGATAGTAAGTAAGCAAGCTGAGAGAGTTTGCAGACAGATGGGTCATTTAAAGAATACTGGCCATCTAGTGAAAGGATAGTGTTGCCAGCAGATGATACAGATGATATATAGCGTTGTTTTCCTATGAGTTTTTATCTCACCTTTTTTTAATTTTAAGGCTGCAACTATGAAATGAGTTGAGCATAGCCAGTGGATTCTGTTATTGAACTGAACATAGTTAATCCAACGTCAACTGTTACAGCTGAAACATTAGCTGAAACAATATAAAAATCCCTGATTTTTTCCCTGCTTTGTCATTGTAAGAAAACTATAAATTGGCCAAAATACTCCCATTTCTAAACAGAAAAGAATTTCAAGGGATAGCAACCAAATCTTCACTAGCAACCCTCACGTAACCCACATCATCACTTCTCTTACAAGACGACATAACTAGAGAAACATGGGAACCCACACGTGTTGATTGTGGACAAGAGAGAGACATCAACTGTGTTGTGCTGTATATACACACTGTGTACAGGCCTAGAGAAGCAAGGATAGCTAATGTATGGGTGCTGCGCGATCTTCGGTTGGTCATGGCCTTTTGTCAGCAGTACACAAAGGCTCTACAAATGAGCACCTGACCATACGTGGCATGTTTCATGACATCACTGGCAATGAACTTTCTCACCTATCTTGAGAAGCACTGAGCACAGTATGGTGTGTAGCACTACTAGTATAGTGTGCTAATCTACTCTTTATTCTGTGTGACTGTTCGGCAGATTAAGAAAGCTGACAATTCCGTAGAGAAATCACAATCCATTCAGCCTGCAGATCAGATTGCACTTATTCAACTAAAAAAAGAGATAGATGAGAAAAAAACTTTCAAAAAATAAAATTTGAACAAGCATGTCATTCACAACTCTTATTTTGTCGCTAATTGAGCAACCCTCTCTAAGCTGAAAAATATCTTGGGGTCCCCTAGATTTCCATTTAAATGGACTCCACTGCATACCATCAGTGTTAGACTCAAACTATGTATCAGTCAAATTAGGTCAAAACACTTTGGGGGCGGGGGGGACATAATTTCCCTGTATTACATCTTCCAGAACTGCTATACTTTCTGTGTAGTGTTCCATTTACTTTTTTTATGTATCACCAATTGCAGTTACAGTTGTGAATAACCTCAGTTCAGACAAAAGATGTGTCTAACCTAATTTGGGGGAAACAGTTATGAGTCGGACACGACTATATTAACAGTCGAACCTGTCTAAGATGGCCACCCATTGTTGAGGAGAAAAAAGGAACCTTCCGTCACAGCACTACCTTATAATCTACGCAAATGGCCAAAACTGTTGATTCACTTCCAAGTGATGAATAGTAATGGGAAAAAAAACAACTGAAAAACAAAAAAGCAACACTGTCAAAATATAATTCCTCAAATGTAATTGAATTCAAAACGGCGGTGACAACAACCACAACCATTATTACATGACTATCATTGTAAAGTGGTCTCCCGACTAATAGCACGCCGGGTAAAAACACAATCTGCCTTAAAATTAAAAAGCATGTTGGCAGTATGGGAACCGAATTTTTCTAATATAATTTTTACCCATAAGTGCACTTTCCAAATCGACAACTCCATCTTGTAGGCCTACTAATAGCATGTTCATTCGAGTGCTTGAGTAAAAAATGGATCAGCCAATAAAATAACAAATTCCATAACTGATGAAAGTGAAGCAAACACCATACACCCTCATTTCTTAGTTAAATCTGCAGCTTTGCCTGCGAAAAAAACCATAGGGACATGGTGTGACACAGAATTGTGCAACGAGGAAAGCTGTGCCAGACCATGCGTGGCGGGTGGACAGTGTGAGTGTGAGAGGGCTACGCCGTAATCATGAAGATGACCGTTGTCTGTGACCAGTAAGTGTAGGAAAACTTCACACCTCAGGGCCTGCTCAGTTCAATATAATGTAACCCCCACCACAGGATGCGAGGTAGTTCATAACAATCAATGAAATCCAACAGAATACTTACTCTAAATTACTCCCCTTAGAAATTCACTTAAGTTAATAGCATGCTCGCAAGAGAGCACCTTTTTCTTATCACCTGAATTGCGTGCTACTAGCCGGAGAATACTGCATTGCTAAAACTAAACAACCATTCACTTCAAACAAAATACGCAAACTTCACATGCACTACAGTAGAATCTGATTATGTAATAAAATATCATACTTTTCTAATTCTATCATAATCATCATGCAACAACTTATAACCAGGATGCCAAATAAATTAAAAACTGATAGACTCACCATGATAGGAAAATCTGAAAACTAATACTAGACATGATTAATGTTGATAATACCACTAGTACTATCAGAGCCAATCTAGGCTAAGAGAGACACAACACCCCAGCAGAAAGAAATGACATACTTAATAAAAATTCTCCCCACTCAATAATCGAACCTGTGTCTCTCGTGTGTGACAGCGAAGCGCCCAACTGCTACACCATAAACTTCGCTATTATTACACTTGTACAGTGGAAACCATATATAACAGGCCCGGTAATAACAGGGATCCGGTAATAATAACAGGGATTTTTTAAATCCCCAATTTTTCCTACTCTTTGTCTCTATTAAAAGTTATCGGCAATAACAGGGCCTCGTCGGAGCCCAACCGGTTATAGCAGGGACAGAGGCTCGTTAATAATGTGTAAAAAGTAAGAGAGAGAGAGAGAGAGAGAGTAACGCAGGGATGGAGCAAGTCCTTGCAAGCCATGCCTCTGCAAGCACACGCAGCGTGTGAAGCGAGAGAGGGTTGCGGTGTGCTGCAAACCTCGATCTAGCCCAAAACCTAGCAACACGAACGCGTACTGTGTCTACTGTCACCAACGATGTCAAACGAAAGAGAAAATGCCTTTCAATTGACAAAAAACTACAAAATGATCCAGACTGTTGACAAAAAGCAAGCTCCACTGGCAGAAATTTGTCGTCAGTTCGACGTTCCACAAGGGTCGATTCACACCATTATCAAGGATAGAGAGAAGATAGTGGCAGCATACTCGTCCAATGGAAAGTTTGCTCTGGATCGAAAGAAGATGGGACTACCCGATGCAGCTGCTGTGGATCAAGTTCTTCTGATGTGATTTAAAGAGGCAAGGAGAAAGTTGGTGCCAAAACCCCTGTTCGTGGGTACTTGTGGCCAAGGAAACTACCCATGAATAAGTACAGCTGGATTAGTCCACAAATGTTTACTTTCCTTGCATTTCTGATTTAACAGGGATCGGATATAACAGGACATTTTCTCTACTCCCACCATCCCTGTTATATCAGGTTTCCACTGTACCAGCAAACAGAAAGAAACTCCAATTTTCAGTTCAATAGTTCAAAACAGAATGCATTCTTCTAAGTAACTACAAGTTGAATTTCTGTAAAAAGAAGCGTAAAATTTTTTCCAAACTTTTCGTGTTCATACTTTCCATGCATAATAGCAACCAGACACACAAAAGCACCAAAGGCAATACAAAATGTATAACCTAAATCATAGGCACACTCATCCTCAGAGACCTGACAAAAGAAAACTCATTGGCTACCAATTAAAATTAAAATGAACACAATACCACCATGCATAGTTTATTATTCTTTTGAGGTGACCAAATCATAGACAGGATTTTTTTAAATAATAAATTTACAATAACCGAACAAAAACCTCTGAAAGTAAATGAAAAGAAAAGATGAAATGTTCCCATCACTATCACAGAAGTAATTTGTACTAGAACTAGAAGCAGGCCTTGCTTCACAATCATATTATATAACAGTGAACATTTACCTTTTTTATGTTGGACAATAAAGCAATATTGTGAAAGTACACTTAATATGCTTATTGAATTCTTGGCTTCCAAACACAGAAATTAAGAAAGAACACATTTTCATTTACAATCAACACTGTCCTTCAGTGGTTTCATTCAAACTGAATGCTTGAATAGTAAAATGTACAAAACAGTCTGGGCTAAACAAGTTTAAACAGAACATAATATTTTTCAAGTTCATTAAGATTTTTTAACCTTGACAGCTATCCTCATTAAAAACAAGCAGAAACATTTTGACAGGGAAGTTATTCTTCAACCTTCTTAAAATAACTTAAAGGTGTATGTTACCTTCAATAGAGTACTAAAACATTTCCACTGAACAATCTGAGCAGTTTTCCTTCATGCTGAATCAACTTTTAAAATCCCATAGAGGGAATGCAAACACAAGAATACACGGATTATCAGTAGTTAAAATACAAGCCTCATGCATTATTAGATTTTTGTTGGTTTCATGCAGAAGCTTGCAATACCATAAATGAGATCAGAATAAACCAACATTTTAGATGAGACTCAAAACTCTTCGTTCAAATTTAGAAAAGCATAATGGATACACTTATTTGTTTTAGCTTCAGTAAGAGTTTTATGTCACTTGCAATACAAATAGGCCTACATCGCATAAATGCCAAAGATTAGAGATGTTACTGAAGAGTAACGTTGCATACAAAGTAAAAAAGGAGGAAAAATAAGGATGATAGATGTTTACTAAGACAAAAGAAGCAAACCACATTAGTAGAGTGCCCGCCAACCACTCACATAGCTTAATATTAATAATCATTTAATCCAGAAATATCTTTCTTAAAAACTATTGCATGGGGTATCAAAATACAAGTATGAAGACATATAAAATGTACATTGCCTACTTTTGTCATATTTGCTCTGATAATTACAGTCTAACACTCACATCGCAAACACGCACATATATATAATAGCAAACAGTTTTTCAGGTCCCTAATTTTTTCTAGATATACCCGGTATGTATTCTTTGTATTTAATTCATACAAAATGATAAGATTTCCGTGTCCTGGCGATTTCACTATGTGCGTGCTAGACTGTAACTGAAAGCCCATACATTCAGGATAACATAAAAAAATTTCCTTGCGACTTAATTAAATCAAGCCTTCATTTTCACCAGTCACCATAAAATACAATATACCAGCCATTCTCAAAAGCTGAGCACCCTTGAAGATCTGCTTTTCCTCCATGCATTACTAACAATCCTTTGCTGCTGCCCTAAACGCCTGATGGCGTAACGGGTAGTAAGAGATCACTAACAATGCAAATAGAAAATTTGTACGAAAACAGGATTCAAAATTGTATACTATTGAATAGTAAACCCGCCTTAGTTAATGCCATATATATCGATGAGAATCATAAATATTTTTAAGGCTGTGTTTGTTGTAATATTTTTACTGCTTATTGAAGTGGATGTCTTTAAAAGGCATGGTTATGGATACGAAACCCATTAAACTCTCAACTGATTAATTCACCAGTGCTTGCTTTCAAATTATTTTCTAAACTTGAAAATTATTTTTAACACCTACCAAACACTGCAGCAATAAAAGTCGGAAAGACTAAAATTTAATGGTATTCCAAAAAATTGTCGCAACGTATTAAGCAGACCTTCTGAGAATGGCTCAAATATGAATAAAGAAAAGGTGAGACGAAAAGGCAAAGAGAGAGAGCAGAAGACCCAATTTTATAAAAGTAAGAGGCACAGCACCAGAAAAAAAAAAAAGAACCTCACTTTCTAAAGCATGCTCTAAGCTACAATTTCTGATTATGTTATAACATGAGTATTGTATTGTTTTGATCATAGGGAGGCTGTCTCTCCCAGGAAGACAATTCAATATGCTGTTAAAGTATCTTTATGTTCACAAACATAATTTCAGTATCAAAACATAGGAAACCTCCCCTAGGATAATTCTTAATATGATGTGAAGTCATTTTGCTTCACTCACTAGTATGAACCAGGAGGAATTTATTTTCTCTCTCCAAAAAGAAAAGAGAAAGACAACCTGCCCATGACCATAACACAATGCAAAATGCAGTTTTGGCAAACAGAATCATGTCTTGCTATCATTAAAGACATCGCATGTTTAGGCGACATGAAATTCACACCTCCGATAACAAATTTTTAACAGTCCAAAAATGTGGAGTTTCAAAATGGTCCTAAAATGTCTGCAAGACAAGAAGCCTTCTTTACTGGAAAATTTACACCATTCTCTCTCCTTTGCTCCCATTTTGAAAAGTTAATTTGAAATAACAAATTTTGAAAAAGACAAGATTCAGATGAGTTTGATCTTATAAAATAATTAACTCTGGGAATATGAATTTATTAACGGCTTAAATAATTTGGAGCTACACTTTCGCAGACGCTATTTTGTTGCCGGTGAGAGCATCAAGCCGACTCTGTTGGTTTCGGAAGAACTCTTTAGCTTGTCCACAAGTGACATTGACACACATTGGGCACCGCAGGGACAGCTGGGGAGAACATGAAACCTGAGAATCAATGTGATTCTTTACAATATCAGCAAGGGCGTCAATGAAGAGTGGGTTGTCGTTGAGGCTCGCAGCTCTGCGAATATTTTTTACCCCGACTTCAGCTGCCAGTTCCCCGGCGTACTCCAGATCCAACTCGAACAAGGTTTCAATGTGGTCAGACGTGAAGGCAATGGGAACCAACAAAATGTTCTTCCTTCCCCTGTCAACCAGACCCTTGATTGCTTCATCTGTCTGAGGGCTGAGCCAGGGAAGAGGGCCCACTTTCGATTGCCACACAAGGCGATAAGCATGAGAGTGACCCAGACCTTCCATAACCCGCTGGACAGTGGCAGCCACTTCAGTAGGGTACGGATCACCCCTATTGACAACTTTCAGTGGAAGAGAATGCGCCGAAAACAAAATAACAACATCATCTTGGTCTTCCTTGGGGAAACGAAGGATCTCATCTTTGATATTCTCAACAAAAGCCTGGACTAAGCCGGGATGCGTGGGCCAGCGATCAATCACACTCCAGGTCATGTTGTCGGGGGGTCCTCCCTTGTTGTAATAACGGTATATGGCATTGAGGCTACTGCCCGTAGTAGAACAGCTATATTGTGGATACTGAGTGAAAGCTATAGCGTGTTGCACTCCATCATCAGCCATCTGCTCAATGGTGTCTTCTGTGAGGGGGTCAGCATAGCGGAATCCCACGTAGAACTTGTGTGGAGCAGACTCTGGACTTATCTTGTCCAGAATATCCACCATGCCCTGGCCCTGCAGCTCCGTCCAGCGTTTGATGGGCGAACCTCCGCCAATTTTTGCATACTGAGCCTGGATACGTGGTGTTCTCCTTTTTGCAATTAGGGGTGCTAACTGACTCTGGGCTGGAAGTGGGATCAAATCTTTGTCCAGGAAGAGACGAAGAAGGAAATCATGAACATCTTCCTGCTTCTCTGGACCACCTAAGTTTAGCATCATGATGCCAGTTTTGGGTCGTAGTCCAGATTTGCTGCTTGTTCTGCGGACTTGTAAGTCTCCATTCTGCACACTGCCGATGACACACAATGGATTCCATGTGTGTTTCAGGCCCTTGGAGCAAACGTTTGGGACTGGACCTGCAAACAAAAACAAAAGTTTCAGTTTGTTTCCTTTCAGAACACTACAGCAACATGACCAAATCAATCCTGATCATTGACAATCATATGTGCATACAAAAACACGAGCAGCTTCTTCATTGGTCATTGTAGGTTCAATGTCCCTTTCAACACTATGAATTTTTTACATTTTAAAATAAACATTGACCTAATCCAAGTCGTGCTGTGAACTGTTTTGAATGCAACCAACTTGTGGTTCGCGCGCTTATATATGCAGTAGCGAGCGCAGTAAACCTCCTAAAATTAAACTAACTTGGTTATTCAAAAGAAAGGACCCCTGGCCCATAAATACAAATAAAACCCGGAGAGTACACATATCACACGAACAAATTAGCATTCATTACTGTTTATCGTTTTCTTTTTTGTTCTGTGTATTTTTCCAGTACATGTATTATAAGACCACTTCAACACCATGCTTCTCACACTGAAATTCTGTCTCATTTTGGCCAATTCCCCCCAAAAATTGTCCCAAGTTGACATTAGCACAAATATTTTTCACAAACTTAAGGTAATTTTTTTAACTAAAAAGACATCACCGAGGGAAATTCTACCCCAAAAAAATCAAATTCAAGTATGTATGTATTTTGTTTTGTATGTCTTTTTCATCTCAGTACTGTAAGTTCCTCCAACAACTACAGAAATTCACATTCTGTGACACTGATTTACAAAAATACAAAAGCTCCTAAAGCCACAGCTATTCTAGTTTCCATAACTTGACTTGCAGTTCATAGAGCACTCAAGTGATCTTCTCTTTCTCTTTTTTTTAGTTTTAGTTAAAGAGTTTTACAGCACTTGCAAGGCAATAAGGTCATATCAATGACGAAGATTAGAAATGCTACAAGAAAGTAACATACATGAAAAAGAAGGAAGAGAGATAAGAACGATAGACGTTTGATAGGAAAGAAGGAGCAAACCACATCAGAGCATCAGCCAACCACCCACACCTCTTTCTGTTCCCATGTTACTATTGTTCCAATCTGCTCCCCACTCAAATGTTGCTCCAATCAGGGCTACTCATTGTAAACTACAACAGTAACTCTTCACAGCTCCACCACCTGAACCAGAACTTAAGACAATAAATCAACCCTTGAACAGGGAGCAAACTTGTGGCAGGTTTATCCCAATGCAATAGTAATAGCCAGGTCCCATTCAAACCTTGGTGGAAGGCAGAAAATATTGTTCAAAGGCTAGCTTTGCCATGAACCAACACTCCATTTCTTTTTCTTTGAGTTTGAGTAAAGACGCACATCGATACAACAATAATGGCTATTTAGGGATGGGACAAAGCAGGACAGAAACAGAGGAGGGAAAATACAGAAGTAGGACCTGCCAGTGGCACCCTCCTACCACCCGCATTCAGTTTCTAGCGTTCAAGAAAAGAAGCCCAACCCCTCAGCCAACAATGCAACTCTAACAGTACGCACGATGATTCTTACCTGATATGAAACCTCCCTTTACTATTTTGTTAACTAAATCACCCCTCCCCCCCCCCCCCCCCCCCCCAACACACACACACACACACACACACGCACAGAGAAGGAGGGAGGCATGTGAATTACTAAAGCAAATGAACGGCAGTCACTACAATAAAAGATGATGGGTCAGGTAGACAAGGCATACTTGGTGGACCTATATATACTTTAAATCCTGGGTCACCAAACTTTTTTCAAAGTGGGCCAAAAAAGATAGTGGCATCGCTCACATTGAATTTCAGCAAGGATTTAAACAAACGTTCTACAGGACTTCTCACAAGAACAGAAAACTCCCATTATTGGATTTTCTCAAGAAAAACTATGATCCCATCAATGTGGAAGCCAGGTCACAACCAAGAGGTGTTGCATAGAAAAAGAAATAAAATATTGAATTTGAACAGCTCCTGCCACTGATGCAGCCACCTATGCACAATATCAAATGTTCGCTTCAAAAACCTGTCTCATTTTATGATGCTGTGAAGTATAAAAACAAAGGGAAAATATTGATTCCTTCCTATCATTTTAAATGCAGCCATAACATCTGTTTTACAGATAGATTTTCTATCTGATGATACCAAAGCTGCATATTTATTATGACAGTCCCAGGCCTGTAAACTAACGCTGAGGGAAAATGATAGGAATCAATAATTCTATAGAAAAGATGATGAGAAAAGTAACATTTTTAGACATGATACACTTAACCCTTTGAGCCCTGATCTCTAGAGATTAATTACCCTGCCCCCCTGCCAGAGCTCCGGAGTGATATATTACTAACATTCGTTATTATGATCGTCTAAATCACATTTCATATTCCACTCAGGGTAGTCCTTATCATTATCAGCATCTAATTCAGAATAATAACATAACGTCCTGTGTAATAAACTCAGTTTCCTGAGCGTGTTTTGTCCCAGACGGGCTGGGCAAGAGACAGGTTCTCACTCACTGGTACACCGGTGGCTAGGCATACGGGCAGTTTTGCGCACAACATGTGTACCAGTGGCTAGGGCTGAGAGGGTTAACTCTGTGTGTGTGTGTGTGTGTGTGTGTGTGTGTGTGTGTGTGTGTGTGTGTGTGTGTGTGTGTGTGTGTGTGTGTGTGTGTGTGTGTGTGTGTATATATAAGTCGAACCTGTGTTAGACGGCCACCCATTGTCAAGGAGAAAAGTGGTCGTATAAGACAGGTGGCCATCTTAGGCGGGACTGATCAAGATGAAGAAAACAAATCATTCCTTTCTGAGAAAACAAACCCTTCCTTTCTGAAATCCCAACTGAAGGTAGTTGCATTGCTGTTGTTGTTATTTTTGTTGTTGTTGTTTTCGCTGGGGTTTTTTTCCTTTTGATGCTGCTTTTGTGCACGGGTGACAATAAAACGAAATGTGTCAGACAAGGGGGACCAAGTGCTATGGTAAAACAAACACACGTGTCGCTACCACTCGGAAAACGAGCGACTTGCTGTCACAAGTTCATGCTGACGTCCATTGTCAAATGTTACTTTGTTACAGACTGGGTAAACAGTGATCACTCATCGCACTTACGATTTGTGTATGGGTTCTGGGCGGGCTTATGGGTTATGAGGGATCACACGCTTCCGTCCCCAGCAGCTGAAAATTAATTTTGTTACCCATTGGTCGACAGAGGGAGGGGCCTACGCAACATGATCAGTTGGAGGGACTACCTAACAACGACAGTTTTTTAGATTATGACGGCTCGCGCACGAGTCACTAAGGTGGCCGTCTTAGACAGGTGTTATTGCTTTGTGTGATAGGGGTTGTGTGTTGAAATATGGTGGCCGCGGCCGCGTTGGACAGGTGCCCGTTTTACACAGTTAAATTATATAGAAAAAACGCAAGGGGGTAAATGGAAAGTGTCCGTTGGTACAGGTGGCCGTCTTATAGAGGTGGCCGTCAGGGCAGGTTCAACTGTATATATATATTATATTTAGATTATAATTAGTTTAGGCCTGCTTTTTGTTTTATTTGTTGAAACCTAAACACAATCATCATGAACCACACTTGACCATTGCCCATGGCCATAACAATTCACGGGTGTAATGGCGAACACTGAAGGTACCATTTGGCGTTTTGGCATACAATGCAAGGCTCACCTGCGGTCTCACTGTGTAACGAAAAAACGACAGCTGTCTAATAAATTTAACTTTTCTCAACCTCAACAGTGCAGAATTTTGAAACAGATTTATGAATATCGTAACCATATTTCTACTAAATTATAGAAAACAAAATTTGAAAAGTTTTATTGTGGAAAATTTTTTTGCCTCTCCTGATAAAAAATTGTCCCACTACCACCTTGGGTCCATTTTCTGCCCCTACCCCCTCACCCCCTTTGTCCCTCTTCTGGGCTCCTGACTCTTTCTGCAGCCTTTCTACTGTTACTCCTAGGTTTCTTTTTTCCTTTGTCTTTCAGCCACACCCCTGGTAGGTAAGATCAACACCTAGCCTTCTCGGATAAGGGCAAAAATCTCAAAATCTCAGGAGTCCCTTGTACAAGCTGCGCACGTTAAAGTTCCTGGGTGGCTAAAAATCGATAAGAGTAGGCTTTGGCCGCCACTTGGGCAAAACTCAAAATTTCCTACCAACTGAAAATGTTTAATGTGTCCCGCGCACTCATATGATCTTATGTAGTTGCGAGCACCGTAAAACACTTACCAAAAAAAAAAGAATAAATAAAATATAGGTTGTACAGTAGCAGCACAAACAAAAGATTTTTGTTTTATACATTTTAAAAAAGACGAAATGTAAATATTGTTACAATTTTGCAGCTATTTTTGCACATTTCAAATACGTCACCTGAAAATGGCAAGGCAATTACTGTTGTCATCATACAGAATTGCATATTTTGATAACACGTAGACACGCTTTGAGCAACAAAACTTGAACACAACAGTGAAAATGGCACAAGTGCTTTCTTCCTGAAGGCAATGGAAGTAGTCTTTGTACAATGGGGTCATGTCCGGAAAGATACTTTACGTCCATTATTGAAACCCAAATTTGGTGTCATCATGATATAATGAGCGTTACAATTGAAAGTGTACTTAGTAGCATGTGACAGCTCAGTGTAAAACTCCGCCATATTCCATTTTGGAAAATGACATGACAGAGTCTTACACTGAGCAATCTTTTAAAAAGTTTTTCTTGACATTTTTCCTAATGAGTCAAAAGTTTCACTGTAGTTTAATAATGCATGACAATCAATTTTTACATTTGATTGATGGCTTGCTGAATCATGATCAAGAAACTATTTTCGTCAATTTACTCAAATATATCTATCAGAAATTTGCAATTGCAACACTTTTAACTGTTTTCATTTTTTGCTCTTACTCACTTAAACCCCTCCACCAGGGCAGTGATACTGGCTGAAGTTGTCTTTAGGCCATTCGCAAAGGGGAGATATTTACATGTTCTTATGCATAGTAGAATTGTAAATGGGCTGATTTATCAATGTCATGCACATACTGTGCCGGAACAAGAAAGGGGGAACTGCTGCTTTTTCTTTCCTCATCCTTACTATCGTCATTTTTCCTCTACTTCTTTTGTATGGTTGTCACTCTCAGTTATTTCCAGGGTGCCTTGATAGTCAAAGCAGACGGAGACTTTGTGCTGTTGAGGCTAGAGAGGTGAGCACAGTAAGCCTGATTCCCCATTTGGACTTCTCTTTGATATCCACCCCTTGGCGCTCATATGACTTCATGCAGTTGCGAGCGAAGTAAAACCTCACTAAAACTAACTTAAATACTTCTATTTTATTCGACTCATTTGTTAATATTTTCAATACCTGTGGTGGGTGGACCGAAATTTGGGTGGGGCTTAGATTGCTTCCAGTTTCCAGTTTTTTACCACTAAATAGCAAGCAATAAAAACTAAACAGTGATGATTTTTCAATACTCACTGTGAGCCATGGCATTTTGAGAACCATTCAAACGAGAAGAGTTACCTTATTTTTCCATCTCTTTATTCTTAGTTAAATTCTTGTTGATGGTGGGGACGAAGCCGATTCAGCTGCAAATTTCCTCTAATTAATTTTCATGTGATGATAAAGTTGTCTTAAAAGTAGTTCAACCTGATTTATAACTGTTAAATCTTAGCGGCACAAACACAAACACGCACCCACAGCACTTTAAACACATTACTTCTATAGAGCTGGATTAGGCCGTGTAGTTCAGAAAGTTGAACACACCCAACAAAGAACCAATGAGTGCATAGTGGTATCTGTGTCAGTGGGGGACAGTGTGTCATAAACTTTCATCCTATTGTCAGGGCTAGGAGAGCGTGAGCCCGGTAGGCCTAAAGTGTTCTTTTTTCAAGGCTTTTACCTTTTTTGCAAGAAGAGTTTCATTAAGGACGGGCCATGGGAAAGGGCTCATCCTTTGCTGAGCCCTAAAGACATTTGATTGGCTGCTGGGTTACTATACTAGTTGTAAGCGGTAACAACAGTGATTGGATAAACGAGCAAGTTGATACCTCTGTGTTTATTGCGTGCGGTCATAACGGTTTCAACTTCTTATTCATTACAAAGAAACTTTCATTCAGTATGGGATAGAGTTGGGAGTGGTGGGTGGGGAGGGGAGAGGGGCTCAAGCTCGCGAGCCCTTCACTTAACCCACAGTCACTGAGTACTTATCATCATCCACAGTCACAGGGTTAGCAGGTCTAAAATCCTCTTATTCTATAGCTCATTGTACATCAATTTAAGTTTTAACTTAGTTTTATAGCAAGTTTATTAGATGTTCATTCTATTGATAATCTAGGTGCCAGTCCAGACATCTTCTAGATCTAGATTCCAAATTGATCTAATAATGACATACGAATAGATCTAGCCTTCACCTCATCTTTCTAAGAGAGCAAAAAATCTAAATTTAGCATTTAGAACTTCTTGACAATTGAGAGGACTAAACTTTCATTTTAGTGTAGATCCAGATCTCTAGATCTATCCGACCTCCTTATTCAAGTTTTGATGCCGTGTCATGTCAGTGTCACAATACTATGACCACTCTGAAATATAAACACACATGGTGATACAATTAGCCTTGGCCTATAGATCTATATATATTGTGAGAATGCTTTTTTTACTCACATTGCATGCATTTTTTATTATTTAGATCTAGATCTAGATTAGATCTACTTCTGTGATTCAAGAAGGTCTTCAATGCTTCTAGGTTTACTTTGAGACTATTTGCTATAGGCCTACAATTAATAGGCCTACTATTAAAATTAAGGCTTAAAGTAACTTTCGTGTCGGTGAATCTAATTATGCCGAGACCTGTTTTCACCTGTAGTCCTGTAGGCTACTGTAATAACAATAATGTAGCCCAATAATGTTTGTACAGACACCAACTGTGTTGTAGTTGTTACTAGATCTAGATCTAGACTCTAGATCTAGATATCTAGAAACTAGATCTGGGAGGACTTCCGTAACGAGCGACCACTATGAGACAGAGCAGAATTGAGGGCTTGGGGTAGGGGTAGAGGTAGGGGTAAGGGTAGGGTTAGGGTTAGGGTTAGGGGTAGGGGTAGGGGTAGGGGTAGGGGTAGGGGTAGGTCTAGGCTGTCTAGGTGTCTTCTTTATTGTGTTTGATGGGGTGGTCGCTCGTTACGGAAGTCCTTCCCTACTGAATTCACCAACCAAAGACAAAGGTTGCAAAAACTTGCAAAACTCTTTTAGGTGATCTTATACTTTAGCACGTTAAATTCCCAAAGTCTACTTATGCCCGACTCAGACCTTCAAAACTTTGAACTGGGCCTAAAAATGTGCAAAATACCGTAATTTTGTCATGAACAGATCGTATAACAGTGGTTTTCAGTCTTCCATCATGATTTTGGAAGCCATTGAGTATAATCTTGATGACATAGAATTTTGATCCAGATCTGATAGTGGTCGCTCGTTTCGGAAGTCCTCAATTGAAGAATTTAACGTGCTGCTAAAGTATAAGATCACCCACTTTTAAAACTAACAAAAACAAGTGAATGACACAAAACGCCAGCAAGAAAAAGTTAAAGATCCTGTTTCACAGCTATACTATGTATTATAATAGAAAATGGCATGATACTATGACAGCCAAAACAACAAGACTCGTCTACAGTACAGTACCTAAGACCCTAAGTAGTAAGACAGTACCTACACCTACGACAAACAGCAGAAGAAGCACAAGCGCCCCTCTACTCTGGACTCTAGATCTAGCTATATGTGATGATACTGGTAGATCTAGCGTCATGCCATACATTGAACAACATCAACTTACGAAATAGGTACTTGAAAGCTGAAAGCGACATCGTTGCCCTTCAATTTTTTCTACTAACTGCACTGTCCAGATGTTCGCCACACTTGAATAACAGTTCCGAGCTTCGGTACGGCTGAAGGGGCACGACCAACCAGTATTATACAACGCAAACACACGACTTCTCAGTCAGTCAGCAACAGCCGGTATCAATGATCTTCTCTATATCATTATGCGTTCGTCCATTGATACCAAAATGGATTGAAGAACGGAAACAGTAATATCGTCGTCATCACATCTGGCAGGCATATAGATAATAGATTTTGATTTTTTTAACGGACTGTGTAACTTGAAAACGAAAATGCTGTCATAATTTTCATTGTACAACAAATATATGTTTTCGTGAATATGTAGGTTTCTTTTAGCATAGCCAATTCTCCAAATTATTTGAGGTGAGAAACACCCAGAAAATTGCTTTCAGTCCATCAATTATTTGTTAACATGTAATATAAACAAGTTTATTATAATAGGCCTCTATGCATGTATAGTTTACCCTTTATATTGTATCAGCCTCTTCTTACGGATAAAATTGCAAAAGAAATACATGCCTGACTGTCAATCTCTTCAAAGGCTGTCCATCGCTTCAAAAACAAGTACGTCATACTGTGCACTTGAACTAGCTATGCCATGGCCCATGATCTTGATCTTCACAGCAAAGTTCAGGCTTGTCCTGCCTCAGTTGTTCGCTTATATTGTATGACAGGTCTCTGGTCTATATATCTGATAGAACTTGTACCGGATTTTTATAATAGGCTAGGCTAGTGATAAAAACTCGCCTGAAACACCATGTAAAAGGATACGTAGCTCGAATGAATATAGGATGAATAGGTGTTGGACTTGGCAGTGTATTTTAATCCTAGCTCTTTGGTTCAAAGGGAAATTGTGTGTAAATTACCATGAGGTCCCATACCTGTATATATGGGACAACAGATACTGCGTTCAAGCAATAGCTTCAACTGGTACATCAATTAACTTTAAAGCGATGTCCACACTCCAACAGCCTGCAATCATCAACAATGAAAGCACGCCGCAGTGCTGTTGTTTTGTCTAATGGTTTTCGTTATAACTTTGATGTTTGGAGATTTGGTGAGGTTGGGCGTTTGCGTGCGTTCGTGTGTGTTTATGTATGTGTGTTTGTGTGAGAGGGGGGGGGGGGGCGAGAGAGAGAGGAATTAATATAGAGGGGGTTAATAGAGGGGGGTCGAAGAGCGGAGAGAGAGAGAGAGAGAGAGAGAGAGAGAGAGAGAGAGAGAGAGAGAGAGAGAGAGAGAGAGAGAGAGAGAGAGAGAGAGAGAGAGAGAGTTCAGATTCTTAAATACTTTTGCGTGTGAGTGTATTTACTATTTCAAGCAAATTTTCTTACTTTATTATTTTCAAAGCCCAGTTCTGCACCACTTCTCAAACAAAACACGCAACAATTTTCAAGGTCCTGCATTTTTTTACTTTTTGTATGTTACAACCAATTCCGAGTATTAAAATTTCAACACAAGTGAAAAATGTGCGAACAAGAGTTATCAGCTGGATCTGGACATACGCAGAACTGAACTGTTGCAACGTACGTGCGTAGCCTTTGCAAGGCCTACGTGATCATTTACGTGCAGTCGAACCCGTGCACCTGAAAAAGAAATGTTAAGGTAACGTGAAAGCAACACATGAGTAGATCTAGCTATACATGTAGATCTAGATTTATTGAGAGAATGTCAGTCCGTTGATGAAACACGTTAACGCAGTCGTCGAGATGTCCCCAGAACTAGATCAAGATCTGTATGGGAAACGATATATGCCATATTAAGACAGCGTTTGGTTTTAGAAAGTGTTTTACAGAACTTGCTACATATAAGTGCCGAAAATTAGAGGTGTTACAAGAGTCGGCCTACTAAAAACAAAAAAAGAAGGAGGAAATATCAGGCAGGACGATAGATGTTTGAGAGGAAAAAAAGGAGCAAACCATATCAGAGCACCGCCACCACCCGCTACAAAAGGGTTTATGAAATTATGTTTTTTTTTCCAGAGAAACAAAAGATGCACTTAAATCAGTATGGAATTTACCGGTGCCATTAAGAGTTTGCCCATTATTTGTAATTAACAAAACTCTCATAGACATCTGAACCCATCAAAAAGTTTGTCAAGAAGGTCTGTATCTCACGTATTACTTTCCATTTCTCAGAAAAGCATGACACACTTGTTTACAGCAGATATATACACGGGCCTTTTCCAGAAAATAGACCTGCTGATTATTGTGAATGCAAAATAAAGAGATTAATGTTCTTCACTCTTTTCTTTAATTATTGTAATCAGTGCATATCGCCGGATGTCTCACGGTAAAGACCTATGTGTATACATGTGCTTTTTTTGTTTTGATAAGTATTTTACGGCGCACGCAACTTAAGGTCATATTATGAGCGCGCGGGACACATGAAATATTTTCAGTTTCGTTGGAATTAATTTTGAATTTTGCCCGGATAGCAGCCGAAGCCTACTCATATAATCGATTTTAATGTGTGCGATAATACACGGGACCTCCGAGGTTAACATTACAACAAGGTCTTACTGTTTATTTTATTTCTGCTCTTTTATGAGAGGGAAAAGGGCAATGCTTCCAAAAGAATCCAGTATGCAAGACTATGTTGATCGTTTCTCAAATGCACATATATTATATATATATATATATATATATATATATATATATATATATATATATATATATATATATATATATAAATATATATATATATATACATATATATATATATATATGTGTGTGTGTGTGTGTGTGTGTGTGTGTGTGTGTGTGTGTGTGTGTGTGTGTGTGTGTGTGTGTGTGTATAAGAACTTTGGGCTCAAAACAACAACAAAGACAGAAGTTCTGTTCTAGCCTGTCGGGTGATACACAGACCGTCTCTCCTGAAATAAAAAAATAAAAAACATTACGTACGACGCCGAGCAATGTTGGTAGCTTCAAATATCTTGGCAGTAGTACTCTATATAATATATTCAAATGTCCGGATCGATGCAGAAATCGCTTTAACCAAAGCTTAGTTAAAGAAGGGTTAGAGATAGCTTTATATGTTTATGAACGTCATGTTGATCCGTTGACATAAAGGGGCGCCTAACTCTTGACACATCGAGTTGGAGATCGGTAATCATAGTGGGCAGAAAATCATACGAGGTTTCACGAGTGAAAAATGTTGAAGCTAAGAGTGAAGTCCGCATCCACAAAGTGGAAGGAAGCTTTTCAATGCTCAAAATGTTCATTTCTGTCAGAATTGGTCCCATTGGCCATGACATCTTAATCCTTGTTTCTTCTTCTTGTCTTTGCGAGATTTTTTTTCCTCTGAATTTCATCGGTCATCGCCAGACATTGACAGACAAACTATTAAGCCTAATAACATCGAGGTGAACAACGCTAGTACATTCTATGAAGAAGACTGAAGGTAAGGGTTTTGGACTGCTGTGACATACATACGCACAGAACTAAAATGCTGAACAATGCTGTTATCTTCCTAACCCTGTTGTGTGGTGCCGATACCTGGATAGTGGATAGCCTACAAAGTCATGACAAAAAGTTAAATCATTTCCACATAAGCTGCCTCGGGAACATTCTTCGATTTTTAAAATGTTATTTTTATTTTTATTTTTTTATTTTTTGGGGGGGGGTTGTTTAGTTAAGTTTTTGTTTAGAGTTGTAAGTGTTTTACGGCGCTCGCAACTGCATAGGGAGAACTACTGCTTTTTCTTTCCTCATCCTTATTATCGCCACTTTTCCTCTACTTCTTTTGTATGTTGTCACTCTCTTGTGAACTGCTATTTCCGGGGTGCCTTGATAGTCGAAGCAGACTTTGTGCTGTTGAGGCTAGAGAGGTGAGCAGAGTAAGCCTGATTCCTCGTTTGGGCTTCTCTGTTGACATCCACCCCTTGGCGCTCATTAATTTGACCTTATGCATTTGCGAGCGCCGTAAAACCTTACTAAAACAACAAACATCAGAATCCCAAAGACAGTGCAGTATCTTATTTTGAGTTGTCATCAGGGAAGTGTATATACCCCCCCCCCCCCAAAAAAAAAAAAGGTTACACTTTCAATAACACATCACGGAAAAGTCTTTGAAGCACATGTACTTTTACATTAACTTGTCGACATGGGAGAGCCTTTCTCTTGACAGACCCAGTTGGAGAGCAGCAGTCACAGTGGGTAGCGAGTCGTATTATTACGAGGCATCACGAGTTTGAAATGCCGACGAAAGATCTGGATAAGCCCGCATATCCTGCGCTCATCCTCAAGTGGAAATGATGTTTTAAATGCTTAAAATGTGGCATACTTTTCTCTTCTAAAATTGGTCTCAGTGGCCATAGAAGAAGCCACAAGTCATCTCAACACCTTTTTCTTCTTTTTTTTTCTCGCTTTAGAAATACAATAGGGGAGGGTGGGCAGACTTGGCCAATGGGGAGACTTGGGCACATGCATATTCGATAAAAAATTTGAACCGAATAATGAACAGCCCTAGATCTAGATCTAGATGTGAAGTTTAGAAGACATCACTTCCTCACCATTGAGCCTGATTATCGCTTTTGTCCGACAGCCTTTGGATGATTTCAGGTAATTTAAAAATAATTATTAGCCCTCATCTCTTAAGGTATGAGTCATTTATCTGTGGTTTAATATCATATTCTCTTATTTGAGAGTGATGACATCCAGGGCCGCCGAGAGCCTGGTCGGGCCCTGGGGCAGCAATCATCTTCGGGCCCCTCCTCCCCCCGGCCCCACCCACCCTTACCAGCAATTTATTAACCCAACAAATACAATGTACATAGGCCTAGGCATATTATATAATCCCTTTACTGTAGCATATCTGTTACATACCAACATACGCTCTCTCTCTCTCTCTCTCTCTCTCTCTCTCTCTCTCTCTCTCTCTCTCTCTCTCTCTCTCTCTCTCTCTCTCTCTCACACACACACACACACACACACACACACACACACACACACACACACACACACACATCTTCATTACCCTTGGAAATGCATTTTGCGAAAGAGGTGTTTGAATAAAAGCTAATCCCCCCCCCCCAAACACACACCCCAGCCTCCATTGTCTCGTCCCCCTCCATCAAGTGCTGGGTGTTGTCAACTTAAAATTAATTTTTAAATTTTAATTTTTCTGATTTA